ACAGGGGAGATATGAGCTGTTTAAATATTTTCAGAGAAGGATCGCTATTTTTCAGCAACTAGTTAGTATCGCTGGAAATAATATGAGACGTGTAGTCTTTTGCCTCGTTTACTAAAAGCGCATTGAACTACAGATGCAAACATTTTCCTTCGTCATCAATTTCATGATCAAGAAAACCTATAACTGGCCATGAAATGAAGAAACCGGGAAATGCATTCCGTCATCAGCAAAAAGCTTTTCGAGAAGTTCTTGTCCAATGTCTATCCGACAGAGGCTTGTTCTCATATGAGGACAGCTCTTTTTTGCAAAAATATATAAATTACATTAAACATTGAAAAGCTATCTTAGACACCATTTCCTTAACGCACCTGTTTTCGCCAATAACATATTGCAGAACACTGAGATAGCAGCTTTGAATATGCAGAACGATTAAGAATGTAATTCAGATTGAGTGCATAGTTACTTTTTTAAAATGGCGTTTTTGGTTTCGAAGTTATTTTACAGCGGTTTTGAGGTGGGTTTAAAAAGCTTCTTTTCCGGACATATCTAAAAACGACCACGAAGAACATTCAATTCTCACAAAATTCGTTCTGCCCCCAAGTCAGAAGTCAAGTATTGTGACGGGGTATCTTTTTCTTTCTTGTCGAGGAAGCGAAAGTCAAGAACAAAATAGGTCGAATAATGTCCTCAGATGAGGACAAAGGCCCAATAGACACACACTGTGTGAAGCAAAGAATACTTAGTTTTATTCATCGTTTCAGAATCCCTCATCTTAATGGATGAACAGATGAAATAACGGTACTGTTGAAATTGAATGCATGAGGAGGAGAAATATGGATCTCACGATAGTGAGAGAAACCTTCAGATTCACATATGTATGGGCACAAGGGTCAATAGCCTTGTACTACGTGGAGGGTGACACAGAACATGCAGAACCAATACCAAAACAATACAAACCTTGGCAGTATTTCTATCTTTTATGTGCGCCACATGTGTCTCTGCGAAAGATTCCAGGTTCATAAATCGATAGACCAATCCTGACTTAAAACACGAGCAAAACATCTAATGTATCCAAAAAATCTTTCCTTATGAGTTTATAATGGGGATGAAGTATAACTTACGGTAGGGAAGGGAACAGTGCATATGTGAGCTTGAAGAGTACACTGAAGACTTGTTTTCTCAGTATAAATTGTGAGAGACCTGTACGACAGGAACTGGGTCGGATGGAACAGTGTATCTGAAGTGTTAATCTTATTGATGTGTTGGCTCTTGTTCTTGTTCTGTTCACTGTCACTCTGTCCAAAAAATATATATTCCATTTGGAACACGAAGCTATTGTACGACATTGTGAATATTGCATCAGAGGGCAGTATTTCAAATTATCTTGTGAAGAGTTCACGTATGAAAAATTTTAATGGGTTCTCGCTGCCAGACAAACGTACCTCTCCAAACAATAGTTCTTCTTTCTCATGCGTTTGTCTACAGTCATAGGGATACACTCCTTAGGAAGGTAACACGTCTTTCTATTGAAGCAGTGGATGTCTATTCCAACGTTTGCATGGTCAAGGGTGTTATGATAATCAAAAGCCAGATTTCATGCGTTGTAAAGGGTATGTTGAAGTTTTCAACAGTCCCATGCTGTATCAGTAGTATCTTATGTGAAATCATATTTTAAACAACATAGGGTGCATGGCTTTTCCTGTGACGATCTAAAGCTGTTTTGGTGGCTTTCTCGCGAGACATACGGGCAAGCTTTTGAACTTCGCGACTAAATGTTTCAAATATTGGCTATTCCCGGAAACCCCTGTAAAATAATCCTATATTTGCCACGCAATAACCAGTACAGGGGGGGGGTCGCGATATAGTGCCACCTTTGTTAGTGCCAGCTCCGATATAGTGTCACCTTTCTGCGGGTCGTACGAATTTTGAGCCAAAAACGAAGGGTCTCCAGAGAGGCAAGGCAGTTGGATGGACGTACTGCCCGAGAGCCGCTGCCGCCGCGGAAAGATGTTATGCAGTTGCTTACTAGAATAGAGACTATGGCGGAAAAAGGCAGGGTCGATGATGCAATTGGACATGTGCTAAAGTGCAGGCTGGCATTTATGGCTGCGAAAAAGGAGGAAGTCAATGCGACGGCTCAACAGCTACTAATAACAGAAATGCTTGATTAGACTTGAGTCTGTAGTGAAGATGCAAATTATGAGTGATGGGGTCCTGCGAGCGGTCTTTCTGAACAGTGATGCAAGGAAGTGGCTGCAAAAAGCCGTAAATCTCATTAGCTTACAGTGCCTGGTTCGATATGTGCCGTTTTCGGCCCACTGACACAGGGTAGAACTATATCGCGACCGCCCCCCCCCCCCCCCCCTGTAGATGGATAGTGCCTATCGAGAAGGATATATTCATCCCATGAGCAATTGTTGCCAACGTAATACCAGAACATATCAAAGGCAGAAATAGTCTCATGTTTTCCAGATTTGATTTAGGGTTTAGTAGAAGAATGCGTTTGAAAGTTGTCAATAGTTATCAATTATGCTATTATAGAGCTTGCTGGCGTGAACATTTTACTGAAAGTCCTCCGATTCAAGTAGCCCTTTTTTGGAGGATATCTCTATAGTTTGACTCAATGAGACCGACTACCGACCACTTCTATCGAACTGTTTTAGTGAATCCAGCTTCTGAGAAAGAGCCAAAGATAGGGGAGAGATGCACTACGGGTGACCCTCGACAGCTCAACATTAACAGCATTATTTCAGTGCTGCACTTCAAGCTTAAGATACGGAGCACGTCCTGATGGATCCGATAACAAAACGAGATACACCGCAGAATCACAAGGCCAATGGGAAAAAGTCATAGTTGTATTTATATATATTATATAGCAAATACAGAGTTTACGTCGTGAGTCCTCACAAAACACAGTCTGGAAGAGGATTCGTCCTGGCGATAGATAAGAGGATCTCGTCGAGGAACAGTGAAGTAAAGAAAGTAAGTAAGAAGCGACAAATGATGCATGTGATCGGATAAGAGAATTGAAGTATGAAGAAAACCGATTCATCTGGAGGTTTGCCGGATAGTTGTACTGAACGGGACTAACTGCAGATAACACCGTTTGCCGTGTTTCCGGAAACGCTCTACTACTGACTTAGGGTTGTCCTTTTTTGAAGCCATTCAGAAACCAAAGATCTTATGCAGGAACTGCGCCTGTCCAAATGATCACCACAGACCTTTCACTTCAATTGGGTCGTGTTGTACAAGCTCAGTTTTGCCCATCGGCTTCTTGTCTTTCGGGTCAGCAGTCCCACTTGCGCTAGTTGAGGGTAACAGAGTCTAGAGAGGGAAGTAGTGCAGCACCATTAGATAACGGATGAAACCTGTGATGTATTCAGTACAACCGCATGTTATCGTTGTCGGAAATATCGACACGCATCTTATTGTTACGAATGCTGTTACAACAGCTTAAATCTAACAAGGAACTGTATGTCCTACGTGAAAGGCTGTACATGTGTTGTGAAAGATGTTGTACAGTAGTACAGTAGCGGGCAGCAATTGCCCCAAGTACTGTATGCTATCCGCCACCAAGAGACGCAAAAGAAAACGAAGACAAAATGCCACCGGATCTCGATTGGGAACAGAGCTAATACTGCGTCATTCAATAGTTGGCTTTGTGGAAGACGCGTATGAGGTCTTTCAAAAGAGACATCAGAGAGTGCGGAACAAGAAGCTGTTGTCTCGGCCCTCTCGGCACGAGAATAAGATCCTCCTCATACTGTAGCAGGAGTCATGTACAGGGGGGGGGGGGTTGCGATATAGTTCTACCCTGTGTCAGTGGGCCGAAAACGGCACTATATCGAACCAGGCACTGTTAGATAATGAGATTTACGGCTTTTTGCAGCCACTTCCTTGCATCACTGTTCAGAAAGACCGCTCGAAGGACGCCATCACTCATGCTTTGTATCTTCACTACAGACTCAAGTCTAATCAAGCATCTCTGTTATTAGTAGCTGCTGAGCCGTCGCATTGACTTCCTCCTTTTTCGCAGCCATAAATGCCAGCCTGCACTTTTGCACATGTCCAATTGCATCATCGACCCTGCCTTTTTCCGCCATAGTCTCTATTCTAGTATGCAACTGCATAACATATTTCCGCGGCGGCAGCGGCTCTCGGGCAGTACGTCCATCCAACTGTCTTGCCTCTCTGGAGACCCTTCGTTTTTGGCTCAAAATTCGTGCGACCCGCAGAAGGGTGGCACTATATCGGAGCTGGCACTAACAAATATGGCACTATATCGCGACCCCCTGTACCTCAGCGGTTTACCTCCGCATGCTGTTCTACTGTAATCCCCTCCCATTACAGTCTGTACACTGTAGCAGTCACGTGTACAACAACGACAACAACCCAATGAGGGAGTTCACATGCGGACAGAAACACCTTCTCATCAACACACACGTGATGCCCTCGTTCCGGGTGGGAATTCGACTGCGAGAGAAGAAGCATTTGAGTTGGGCTCCGAAACAAAGTGAGAAATGGGGCCAGTGTTTTTTCTTACTACGGTATTGGAAAAGTGAAAACGTCACCGCAACCAGTACCTCCAGTCACTCCCAAGGATGATGCTGTCGGTAAAACGTTTGGAGTTTGGACGCGCAGAAGTGGCATTGCCATCTTCTGTACTGGTTGTAACCGTCAATCTCGTCGCCATGCATACCCGCGTCAGTTTCACACCTTGCGGCGCGTAAATCCCCACAGCTCCATCTTGATCAGAACCGTCTTACCCGTGTAGGGATGCCGCGATGGCATGGAGAAGCAATGACCCTTCAGGTGCATCGCTGTCTCCGAATTGCTCACTGCATAACCGCCCATCCCCGATCTCTTATTAAACCGTCTCGACCTGACCACTAACCTGTACAAATCCAACTCGCACACTCACTTTGTTCATCCAACGCAAACATCAACGTCATTCATCCAACGCACTGAAACACCACCTCAACCTGGCAATACATCGCTCAATGTACACACCGTCTTACCAAACGACGACCAAGCCGCGTGGCATCCTCCGTCCCCCCACCCCCCCTCCGTCGTCCACCTCTCGTCGCTCTTCGGTCTCGTCCACGGGCTCTTCCACCCCCTCTTCACGTCGTGTTCGCTTCGATCGCCACGACACGACGCACCCGAAGACAGCCTCGAGCCACAAGGTGCCCCGTCGCTCCAGTCGTCACGAATCTCAGTCACAGAAGGGCAAGCGCGGACCATCAGTGTCCACGCGCCGCTCGGTGGCTCCCCTCCACGGGAAAACGCCCAGTAAGCATTACGAGCGCAGGGTGCCGGACGAACACCGCAGGCACGAACACCGCAGGCACACGCAGCAAACGCCGATGCCACACGGATATTACATTAGGGGCCACGCGCCTGCGTACCACGGTCTGTATCGACATGGGTATGGAAATTATCACACACACACGCAGGAGATGCATCGTCGTCATCAACAGCAGCAGCATTATGCGCAGCTTTCGGCGATGGCTGTGCAACAGCAAATGGATCAGAGGAGGCTAAGGAGGCATCAGCAGCAGCAGATTTACATGTATGAGCAGCAGCTGCAACAACAATATGGACGGCGTCATCGTGGGCGCGCTTTCTAGGATGGCTGCTGTGTAAGATGAGGACGCCGGATGTGTGTGAGTGTATGTGTGAATTGTACTTGTATACTATTGTACTGTACTGTACTGTTTAGGTATCCCTTTGTAAAGGGATGGGTAAACTCTAAAACGATGTGTTGGTCAAGACCTTTCGAGGGATCAAGAAGCAATGGTATCGCCACCCTCCATAGCTAGATGTAATGTTTTTTTTTTTCATTGCCACAGTAAGATACCAGTGAAACATAATGAAAGGGAATGCCGCAAGCGGATGACCTCATAGGATAGGACTACAAAGTGCCTAGTGTCTATCGGACTGCTATTCCTCAAATAAGGACACTTCTGTAAGGACACTTCTGTTTCTTGAAACTTGAAGGCGTATTTTTGCAAAATTGAGAACAAGCCCCGGTCGGATAGGTACTACGAGAGGTAGCTAGAGGACGGACAACGACGATGATTGGTAAGAAAAGACGGCGTGGTTGGCACCGAGACAGGTCGGAGGGCAGCAATTGACCCTCGACACTTGTCGACGACAAGTGTCGAGGGTCAGTTGCTTGTCGACGACAAGTGTCGAGGGTCAATTGCTGCCATCCGTTTGTCGTCCCTCAACAAGTTGTCGAGGGACGACAAACGAATGGTTTTACCCTCGGGTCTTCAATGTTTTGGCGCGATCTACCGTACCGATCACCCTTTTCAATTCTTCTTGTTTTTGGGTTAATCAGATACTGCATGAGTATTTTGTATCACACATAAAGAGAGTTAGTACGCAGGCCCTCAGGTGAAGCCGATTCTTCAAAGCTCGAAATTTATTGGTTGCGACAACTGTAGATACTGTAATGCAAGCATCAGGCCCAGCTTCACTACGCTAAGCAAAGAAGGCAATACTGTAAAGGCAAGGGAGTCAGTACTTCCGCAGGCATAGTCACTACAGTACAGAGAGTATCTCATCAATAGTGCAGTTGTGAGTAGTGCAAACCGCCAATAGTGCAGGTCAAAACCGCTTGTCACGACTTTTGACACGTGTATGCATCTTAGAAAAGCAAAGCGTGCATTGCTGCAAGCGTATCACGCTCAATAGAGAACAAAAGTTCGACAATCAATTGCGACGGGTTTTTTAATTAAAATAAAACCACGATGTAAAAGTGATTTGCGAGATCCTCCCCTTGAGTATTGCAATACGCCAATAGTGCAGTATTCCACAGCGTGGCACGGTACTGCACTATTGAGCGGTATGGACTGTAGTTCACTACACGTGTACTCATTAGCACTTCCGCAATAGTCACTACTGTACTGTAGTGGGTTTACGCAAGCAGAATTCTGAAATGATTTTTGAGTGTGATTTGAGTGTGACTTTCTCATGGGTTCCTCATGGGCAGCGGAGCGCACACACGTGAACTACAGTTAACGATAACACTGCGTTTTCACCTTATTTCCTTCCACAATAATACCGTATGTTGATTTTGCACAGGTACAAATTTCGACTTCTGGCACGATTCTCCGCCCAGTAGAAGATGCCATCATCACAATACGATGATGTGAACATTCCTTTCCAACGACTCCGAGAGCCCGACTCGTCGTTTCGTGCCACAACACCAGGATGTGTGATGCTGTCCTCCCGTAGATCTCACACGGCCGACGCCTTTACCTGAGGTTTGACCTACTTCACTCGATAATGTGTACCTTGTGTTCTTGAAAACACACCACGTCCGGATCCGCCCATTCGCTCCATTACATACAATACCTGAACATTCTCGTCTAGAAGCCAAGTAGCAACACAGACGAAATGACGAGCTCTTCAAGGCGAGTCCCGTACCTTGCGGCAAAAACAGTGAAGTACAGCCCCGGCGTCTTAGACTTGACAACAAGTCTACGATAATACTTGGGGCTGTTCACGTACATGTTTTTCTTTGTACACCCCGCAGTTGCACAGTAGCTTCTCATCATCATCGGCCTTCCGTCATGCATCACGACATGCGCTGGAGTAGCGCAACTATCGTTTAAGTCGCAAAGAACAGGTGCCACGAAATGCCTTTTGAAGACGAGATCCTCTCCACCGAGATGCGAAAGAGCTCTGATGTCGATACAATCTGGCTGTGGCGGCAAAATGCCCGTCTGTCTTGGTGGTGGTGAAGGTACCGCACCGGGCGGAGGCGGTGAAGTTGGGTTTGTACTGGGATCGGTGGTGGAAACTGGTCGCCAAAATGACAGTCTCTGCGCGCTATCTCTTGAGACGCAAACAAACGATTCTAATTCCTTATCGGTTCTTTCGGCACAAAGTTCTGCTTCATCCGGACAATCAGCGTCTGCTTCACACTCGGTCAGTAGCACTGGAAGGCAATTGCAGCGCTCGTCCTGCTTATAGTTACATTCTTTGAGCTCCTCATTGTCCAGCACAACCCCACATGTGCGGGGGGCAATGCAATGAGAAGAAGCTTCACATTCATCGAAGGTGAGTCCATCGCTTTGAACGGTATTGGTGCTTTCGGTGACGAAGGCCTCACTTAGGCAAACTGGCGCCGCTTTGCGAACGGAAGCGCAGAGTTCCCCTTCTACACACTCATAACTGTAATCGCAGAATCGGAATTCCTCACCCGGCCGGCAGTGGCAAGAGTAACTTTCGTTTGGACATGGTACAGATCGTTCATCTTCTTCATCTCCTGGATCAACGCATTCTCTTGATCCGACACAGTCTTGGTCCTGAGTGCAGTCGTCACCCGATAGGCCTGCTCGTACTTCAACTCTAACCACATCAGCAGAACGCAGTGAACGGGCTCTTTTCGGCTGAAGCTTTGAGTGGGATATCCGAGATAACGGATGAAGTCGAGCCTGATTCTTCGAAATCTGGCCCTTGATAAGAAGAGTACTACTATCAGATCGGTCGGCTTGAGTTCGAGACAGGACGAGCAGAAAGGATAATATTGTCAGGAAGAAGATGGTACGCATTATCACCGGCTCACCCGTGTAGGCGTATTGCAGTTTGAGAACCGAGATACAAAGGAAAACAGTGTCGCCGTCAATTATATACCGGGGCCGCAGAGGATAAGGAGAGGGCATGGCGTGAGACCGGGGAAGGGTTGGTATGCAGCACGAGTGAAACCCACAAGCGCGGAAGATGGGGCGTTTCCAACGCGTGCAATGATGATGATGTGTTCTCGATACGTCTTCATTGTTGCGCACGCTTTCGGACAAGATGATGTGAAGCTTGGCATACAGTACAAAAAAATGGCACAGTATTGGGTGGGGAGCGGCGGCGGATACGCGTGCTGAGGATAATGTTGCTGGCCCTGGAATACGATGTTCCTACAGACAAGGTGTGAACGTGTGTGATTTCTTGTTCGGTAAAATTGTAATGTAGTGAGAGTGCTCTTTCTGCGGGACTGTAGGGTGCCTGTCACAACGCACATGGCCGGTGCAAGCACCTGATACGTTCCATGTACTGTCACAAAATGCATTTTCCGCAGCTTGATAGACCCCTGACATAGCTCCACGCAGAACTAAGCTTGCGCAAGGGCGCCCTGATGATTCTCTGTATTTCGGAAGAGGTCAAGAAAAATGTTCTTGCCGAAATCGGGGACGCCCGTGTTGCGACGCGGTATGAAAGGGGCAACACGGCCAGGCCGGATGTATTGGCAGGGAGGGAGGTCCTGCTGTGGCACGAAGGTGAGGGGAGGGCAATTGGGGCGGCATCGGGCAGAGTACCGTACACCTCGGCCGTTGCGAAACAGGAGCATGGCAGGTTGAAAGGAAAGCGTGAGACAGACGAGGAGGAAGTGCAGGGGATATGAGGAAAGCGCAGCCGGCGTCAGCTGTTCCCGGGAAGGAGGGTGGGTGGGTGTGACAGAGGCATCAGTAGGAGAGAGCCGAGGCGAAAGGCTGTCGGTGTGCGTATGGACATTGTACTGAAGGTAAAGAAGCCCGCAAGTGAGGGCCAGTCCTAACAGGCGCTTTTCTTTTCTTTTGTTTTCCTTCAACCAGTTGCGGTCACGCTATTGGCCGGATCATTTCATTAAATTAATCGCACGCCACAACGAATGCTACACAGAACCACTGTAATGCTTGGTAATTCTGCGAACTGGTCGAAATCCATTGGCTAAAGGAAGTACCAATCCACACCCAGTCCATATGCACACTACTAAAATTCCATGGACTCGATGCGGTGCAGTGGCACTTGCAGTACAGGTACAATGAAAGGGTGGAATTAAATCCAAATACGAGCACATGCAGATCAAAACATTAGTTCTCTCAACATTACAAACCAGACACAGTACCTTCTCCCGCCATTTTATGTGCACAACTCGGCCCTCCCCCGCCTCGACGCCCACGTGAAATTTGCGACAGTCGTTTGCTAGCATTTTACACTCTGTTTAGGAAACGGAGCACCACCGGACGGCAGAAGGGTACCCAGAGTTCAGCACCCAGAGTTCAGCTTTTCGAAATCAAATGCCTCCTTGGCATCGATCATGAAATGGAGAGAAGCCGGGGAGGCTGCTCTCTAGTTCATGATCGATGATGAAGTGGCTTCGCCGAAATCCCTTTCCTGTGAACCACCCCGCCCTCGCTCCCTGCCCCCCGCCACCAACCCCCCTTCCCCCCCAAATAAGACCACGTCCCCTCCTCCCCGCCACCCCCCTTCCCCTCAATATCCCCACGTCCCCTCCCCGCCACCCCCCTTCCCCTCAATATCCCCACATCCCCTCCCCGCCACCCCCCCTTCCCCCCCAAAATCCCCACGTCCCCTCCTCCCCGCCACCCCTACCTCGCGCCCGACCACCACGCCCCATCACCATCTTCCTCACCTTCTCAGTACCGTGACCAACACACATCCTCCGACATGCTATTGTCCCCGCCACCGCGTCATCCTCCTAACATCGACACCGACACAGTCTCTCCCCGCACCCTCCATCCCTTCCATATCTTTCGTTTCATATCTCAATCCAGCCCAGTTTTGGTCATGCACATCGAGGGACCTCATTATAGCAACACGTCGTCCAGCTTTGCTTTTGTCGAGCTACAGGGAGTCAGACTGAGCCATGTGCATGCGCGAGGAGGCGTTGCTGTACCTTCCATGCTGCATGGATCTGCAGACCGTCCAGACTCTGTTCCATTTCCGAGGAGTGGAACTATGGGATGGCATTACAGTAAAAACTACAGCAATGTGCTTCCGATTTTAGTGAAGAACTCAATAAAAACGGGGCGAGGGAAAGGAAAAACGAGAGGAAAGTCCTTTGTTAGGACTGGCCCTGAAAAGCGAAGTCTGCGCGAACGAGAAAAGGTAAGCGCTGGGTGCGATACTGTATTGGATTTCGATCGCTCTTCTGGAAGTTAAGTTAAGGCCAATCAATCTTGGCGTGACCTGTTGCTGTGGACGGGCGGCAACACGGGAAACTGGAGACCCACAATTGTGGGGGGTAGAGAGATATGATAGGGGAACAATTTTTGAGAAAGTAGGGTGGCAAAGGGGGGTGTGAGAGGGGCGGAGGGGCAAGGGGAAGGAAGAGTGGGGAGTAGATATGATAAGTGCTTCAAGTACTTACAGCGCGAGAACGTCACACGGAGTAACGCAGTCTTCCGTAGAAAGTCACACTGAAACTTAACTACTGTACACTGTAGTGCCTGGGATGGGAGTTGGAACGAGGGGAGGTGGAACGAGCAGGATCAGGAATCGGTGCAGGATGTGAAACGATGACGAGACCTCCGGTGATCCATTTCACCCCGATTCGTAGCGCAGGGATGGCGGTGTAACAAGGCGCAAGTTGAAATTTGCTAAAAATGAGCCGCTTTTTCAAGTTACAGAAACCGCCAAAACGCTTACTGTAGTCGGTTGAAAACAATTGCATGCAGGATGTAGACATCAAAATAATTTGAAGTTGATCATAACAAATTGAAAAGACCTACATTCATCCTGTTTCAAATTACGATCACTTGTGAGTCCAGCACTTCAAAATAGAAGTCGTTCCTGACGCCCCCGTCCTGCCCGTCAATGTTTCTCTGAATTAATGGGCTTAAAAGTACTTGTGGACGACCCCTTCAACGCAGGCCGCCAAGCCCGCCAATTAATTGATAATTTAGAGCTAATTTGATGGTCTCAAGCACCGTTGTTTCACGCATCACATTTCGCCCTGGATTCAGAGCCTGATTATGAGACATTTATCTTGTCATTCCACAAGGTGCAATAGAGCTCATCAATTCCGTTAAGAATTGCTGACCTATTATCAGAATTGATGGGCTATGATATGACAATTTTCTCATGGTTGACGGCTCTCACAAATGCCAACTGGTCGCTTAAGAAGCTCGAAGCCCCTTCTCTGACTATATGCTTGAGTTTCCGTCTCTTTACAACTCTAACTGCAGCTTTTTTAATCGTTCGCCTAAAGCTAAAAAGAGACGTTCTGACGAGAAGAATAACTGTCCAATGGGCGCCGAACTGTTCTATTCTATGTACAAACTTCACTTGATATGTTTAATCAGTATGCTGGCAACACGTCAAATGCCGTAACCTCTCAGCACATGTCAAATTTGTATTTTGGTAGTGTGGGTCTTACTTGTACTGTTTAGAAAGACTTTCGATGTGCATTTCCGGATCAATTGGCATGGTCCAATGGCATGATTATCTACTGTGCGGGTGCTAACCATTTTTGAGATACAAGTTGGATTGGCATGGAAATGCCTTATTGCCAACATTTCCAACAATGACAATGAAAGTATAGAGAATTGTATCGCCACTTTAATACCGTGAACGTTTGATTCAATAGATTTGAGGTTGTTGATCGCTTTACTGGTTTCGTATTGTGCTAAAATGACTGATGCTTTGTTTTCGTCTTGCTCTTCAACCTCTAAAATCCGACTTTATTGTGTACACAGTAAAGTCGCATTTTAGAGGTTGCTACTATATACTATTCTTCTTCCAGAGTTTCTGAATTCCTTCAAAATCTGCATGAGCTTCTTCTTTTCCCATAGTTTTCGTTTTCCTCTTCCTGCCTAGGTCAGCAAAGCATAGTATACAAAGCGCGCTGCTAGTCGGTGGCATCGAAATTGCGTAGCCCCAGATTTGTCTGAGTCGTTATTCCTAATAATGCGATGCGTATGTACTTCAGCAATCTTATCAATGTATTTTTCAAAGGCTCGTGCTCGTGGGCTGATCACCACGCACTTCTGATGCATTCCTTTTACCCATGGCCCGGATTTTGAGCGACATCTGGACAGAGCGACATATGCTCCTCCTGCCGGCATCCAACTTTCCACCTCTGAGAAGTCTTGTAGTCCAATACGCACCTGAAAAGGGGGGTGAAAAGAAGTGAAAAAGGAAAAAAATTGGATACTGTAGTCCGGGTTTGGGGGACACACGTGTGCGACGAAGCGCACGATTATTTTAATTATTTAATTTATTTACTAATTGGATCTCGAATCTAGAGCCGGGAGCTACTGTACTCGCCCCGGCGGGGCTCTATATAACTTAGCCCTTTGACCGACCAAGTCAATAAAGCCAACCCGAGTTGCCGGAGTTAGATCTCGCCTTCGTCGAAGACCGCTTCCGTTAACGCGACACGCTTCCCTTCTACGCTGCTAACGACATCCTCTATTGCTCGAGGTCCCATTCCTTTTCCTTATCCTTTTACCTTTTATATCTCTAATTCCTATCCTTTTGTATCTCTACACCTATTTTTCCCTCAATTGTGTTGGTTCCATTGGAGTCGGTTGCGACCGATCCGGTGTAGGTGTTTTAGACATCGGGCAACACGTTGTGTAGCGCTGCTACTGTTTCAAGTTCCGTAGGAAGGCTGTTGTAACGACGCCTCCGTCGAAGGTCTTACTGTATAAGACAGAGTTGGTACCGCCTACCGCGATCGCGATCGCGCTGGTGAGGGTGTTTTTAGCCATCGGGCAACACGTCGGTAGTAGCGTTGCTACACGGTTACGATCCCGTCGGGTAGTGCTGAACAAGCCCCCGTCGAAGACCTTCAATTATACCCAAGGTGCTAAAGACGCTCGTCGAGCATTGGCCTTACAACCCAGCGAACCGCGGTTACATTCTCGTAGACAAGCCCAACCCGCACTCGTCGAGCACTCAAGTCTTCGCAAGTCTCTACCACCATTATCCTCCCGGGCCGGGTATCTTTCCTTAACCCCCCCGTCGGAGTCGAGCTACCGTGGACCGCAAGCCCGCACAAGGGGAAAGGGAGTCTCGAACGCTCCGTAGCGCGTGCCATCGGCAGTGGTTGTTTCTGTTGCTGTTTTTCTTCTTTTTGTTTGACCGTCGGACTGTGTTCGCGGCCTGCCAGGCACATTGCACTACAAAAGTGGTCTCCCGACCTAGAATTGTCTACAGGAAACCCGACCTAGAGTTGTGCCGACGACAGTCTCGGTCTGGAGACGCACTACAAAAGTGATCTCTCGACCTAGAATTAGTTTTTTCTACGACAAGGAAGTGGTCTGGGTACGGAGTCTCTTTTTTATTTTTTGTTCGTATCTTTTTTTAGGTTCGTTCGCTACGCCGAACGATGTCAACAAGCGCACTCGGGGACGTCGGTCCCGGGGCGAGTAGAAGCGGATCGGCACGGGCGTCGAGGATCCCGAGGGGTCCTCGCACCCGGAGCCAGGCCAATACGGCCACGGATCCCGGAGATCAAAATCCCCTACGGGGATTGCCGCCGACAAGACTGACCTCGACGAGAAGTTGGAGAAGATGAGCAGCGAATTTCGCGAAGAAGCGAAGAAAAATCTCGAGGCCGAA